TGGTTTAGAGATTTTCAAAACTATATTCATGATCGTGGCCAGTCTGTAATTTTCCCATCATGTGCCTTCCATCCATGTCCTGTTTTGGCATCAAGGTTATGCCAGCTTCAAAGAGTGGGTTGGAAAGTGTTACTTCTTTTTCAGTTCTCTGGAAAAATCCATGTAAAATTGAACTGAACTATTCTTTGACTATTTAGTAAAATATTCCTGCTAAGTTGCTTTGTCCTGCTGTTTTCCTTATAGTCAGATTTTGAACAGGTTTCCCACCCAACTGCTTTAATGTTATTGAAGTTCTCTATTTTTTCTCAAACGAGTTTTGATGAATTGTATTTTGTGGTAATTCATTCACTACTTCTAAATTTTCAAATTTATTGCCATATTGATTCACAATATCTATTATCTGCTTAATCCTTACAGTTTTAATAGTTATATTTCTTCTTAATTCCTAATGAGTTTTTCTTCTCTTATTTTCCTTTAATCACTCTCCAGTAGTTCAATAATTAATGTCTTTAAAGACTCAACTTTTGATTTTGTTAATTGTCTCAATTGCATGTTTGTTTTTGCTTTTATTTTTATTAATTAAATTTTTTTCTTTTCTTATTTACCCTTACTTTCTTTAGATTTCTCACTTTTCAAGTTTGAATTTAAAATTCATTCTAAGCTTCTTTTTTTCTAATAAAAAGCAATTAAGAGAACAAATTTCTCTCCAAGAACTCCTTAAGCAACATACAGTTTCTACTGTTATTTAATTATAAGCATTTTCTATAGTTTATTACAGTTTTTCATTTACCCATGAGTTGCTTAGATTTTTAAAAAAATTTCCAAGTGAATGGAGTTTTCCAAATTATTTTTTTGAATTCATTTCTAACTTAAGTGAATTGGGGATGGTGAATGTGGGCAGTATAATACTTATCATCTGAAATTTAACAAGGCTGTCTTATGATGTATATTATCAATTTTTATGAATATTCTGTGATGCTTAAAAAGAATATTCTACATTCACGAGAAACAGTGCTGATATTTTTAAGCTTGTATTTATTTCTTGAAATGTATCAAATGTAGGTATTTCCAACATCTGGGTCTTCTGCTGTCTGTCGCTTATGCTGGTTCTCAGTCATGATGCTTTGTTCATGTGTGTATTTGGTGATTTTTGATAATGGATCTGATGCTGGTTTTCTTTGAAACTTTGTGGAGATTTTTTTGAAGACCCCCTAAGAGGCATTGAATTTTTTTCTATCTTTTCCCTAAGGGTATACCCAACCTGAAGACAAGTCAAAAAAAATTCTACACTTCAGAGTTTTTATAAATACAAACCTGCACTCATATGCATGCTGACTTTTGATTATTGGTTTTCAAGGAAGAATTTTTCCTTGTGCAATAGAGCAGGGTTTATTTCATTTGCACCCTCACTCTGTGGTTATATTCCTTTGGATTACCAGGTTTTCATAGGAGGTCTTTTAATTAGACTCCTCACCTTGAGCGTGCCCTAGCCTGTATATCCTGTCCCCACACCCTGTGAAGTTGCCAGGATGCAGGTTCAAGGTCTCCAAGTTCAACAGAAAGTGTCAGGGCCAAGGGTGGTATTGACACTTGCTTACGTATGAGGACTCCTGGTTTTACTTTATTTCTGGGCATGGCATATTGTTTACTTTAGTGATAACTAACTGATCTATTTTTAAAATTTTTTTAAAATCTATTTTTAAAATAGTTTTCTTGTGATTTAAATCACTGACCATAAAATTTATCCCTTTAGGTGCCTCATTCAGTGGTTTTATATACATATTATATATGTATGTATATATCTGTATCTATCTATATCCTATTAATTCTGTGGTTCTTTTTCTCTAGAGATCCCTAATCTTTTCACTTTATTGATAGTGGTCTTGCATTACAAAAGTTTTTATTTTGATAAAGTCCACTTTATCTATTTTTCTTGTTTTTGCTTGTGCTTGGTGTCATATCTAAGAAACCATCCCCTAATCCAAGATCATGAAGATTTACATCTGGTTTTTTTTTCTAAGAACTTTATAGTTTTATTTCTCAATTTAGGTCTTGTGAACCATTTTGAGTTCATTTCTGTATATGGTGTGAGGTAGGAGTCCAACAGCATTCTTTCGCATGGGGATATCCAGTTGCCCTATTTTTGAAAAGACTGTTCTCCCCCTTGAATTGTCCTGGCATTCTCAAAAATCATTTGACTATAAATGTGAGAGTTGATTTTTTGGATGCTCATTTCTACTCCATGGATCTTTATGTCTATGCTTATGCCAACAGCACATGGGGTTTTTTTGGTTTTGTTTTGGTTTTGGTAGCTTTTTAGTAACTTTCGGAATCTTTCTTTTGATTTTAAAATTCAGCATTTTAGTTATTTTAGTCAGGAGGGCCTTTCAGTGTATCTTACCTGCACACTGCTGTAAATCTAAATCAATCTGTATTTATTTATTCACTTCTTCACAGCAGAATGCCTTTAGTGAAAACTCCAAATAATTTAACTTTGCTTCCATTTCATTTCTAATAATCTATTTCAGATATACAAAAAGGCATTACAAATAACAACCATGTAGTCTTCATTCAGCTTAGAAAACAGCAGAATTGACGTCCCTAGTGTATACCTTCTCAATCACATTTCCCCATAATCCCTCCAAGATAATCAACATCTTGAATTGTATGTTTATCATTCCCATGCACGTCTTTATGCTTTAATATACGATCATTTCCAACCACCTGCTCCCTTGCCATCCTCTACTACAGGGGCTATAATTCTAAACTTGACACCTAGTTTCTCAGGCCGCAGACACAGTCATGGCTGATGAGATATGGTAGAAGTCTCTGGGTAGTGTGACCTTTCCCAAATGGAAAGGTAAAGATTTGCTATAAACAACACTTTCTACCCCTCATTAATTTTCCCTTTCCATTTTTTTCCAGCTTGGAACATTCAGAGTTGAGCCTGAGATAACTATCTTGTCACCAGGAGGTGATAAGAATGAGGAAGATTTCTGTGCTTCCTCATGGCAAAAATGAAAGCTAGAAATAGCCTGGGTGTTAGAGCAGGCAGATAGCTAGATGTGAGCAGAGAAAGGGGACACAGACAAAATGGCAGGAACTAGGCAAAAAGGAAGGGCACGGGCCAAAGGCAGGAATCCCTACACCATGTAAACAACAGGGGACCCTGGTCAGAGAAAGAAAAGCAGGAACCTCTGGGCTGATAAGCGGTCACACCTTTTGGGGTGATGAGCAGCCTGGAGGCCAACAAAGAAAGGTGGGAAAGGCAGGAATCTCCAGGGTCCGAAAGTAACTTTTGCTCATTATGCCCTTATTTCAATAAAATTAGCCTTGCAGATCAGAAATACGCATCATGCACTGATGCCATGACACTTCCGATCCAGACTAAATAAGGACAAAAATCCTTCCTCCCTTTGAGAAGGTGGAGTTGGGATGAAAATCAGGGAATATGACCCCAGACCCTTCCTTCCCCAATGAATATTGCATCCCTTCATTTTTACAGCCTATGTAACTGACTTGCCAAAGAAACTCAGGGCAGCTCCTTACCTGAGCCTGCCTGCTCTCCCCTTGAGAGCGTACTATCCATCCTTTAATACATCCCCACTTTACTTAACCTCCGCATCTTGTCTCTGAATTCTTTCTGGGACAGGACAGGAACCTGGCACACCAGTTACATCTACCAACAACATGGGGACCTGATAGAATTGTATTACTGCATCTCAGACCCCTTGTTGCATGAGGCAAATAGTACATTTCATCAAATCTAAGATGTCATCGATGGTCAAACACACCAGTATGCTACCCAACACTAAGAAAGAAAAAAGATGCTGACAATTATATGATATAATACTTTCTCTTTACATCAGCTGCAAATGATAACCTACTTTTACAGATAAGAAAATTGAAAAAACATATTTCTAAGAGTCAATGGTAGTTTAAAAAAAGAAGTTTTTTTAGTTGAGGTTTCACATACTTAACAGCTGAACAGACACCTAATTGATGTCGTTGTAGAGTAAACAGACCACATTTAGATTAGAATGAATGTACCTGAAAGCAGAGAAGGAAGAAAGTCAGGCTTTGCTGAGAAAGTTGTGTTTTGCTCTAGGTTGTTAGGCCAAGGAATCTGCAAGCATGTTGTATCAGCCCTGGGCCTGCTTATTGGCAAATTTACCCCTTACCTTTTTCTCCTCTGATCTGTAATGCTCCGGGCTGTGTTCCCAGGTCTTCTGGGTGAGCTGAGTCCCGCTGAGTTCAGCCAACGAGCTGCAGTGTCTGGAGAGGGGAAGGGGACAGGAGCGGAGAGAATTCCTTCTCCTCCCTCTCGGGCCTGAGTGGCGTCTCTGTCAGCAGCTGAAACTCCTCGCTGGACCCGACTCCTACCAGGCAGGTCTGCAAATTTGCAGCATCTGTGTTGATTCCGGCCCCCTTTCTTTTGTCTCTCCATCCGAGGAGTGGTAGTGGCTTCCTGCTTTTGCTTATCTCAGCATGGCCTCACCGCTCCCTCTTCACCGTCTCAGCTCATCGTCACCTGTGTAACCAATTCGCTGTTTCTCTGACACTTGGACTATTTGAAGTTTCGTTGCCCTGGCTAGAAACTAATGACACTTTTTGAAAAGGACTTAGCTTCTCAGTCCTAAACTAAAATTACCACACAGGGTCAGACAGATGCAGGCTGTAGCAGGAGATATAACCGGGACCTGAGTAAGTCTGACCCCCTCGGCCCCTCCCCAGCACCTGATGTAATAAACCCCCGAGGAAGGGGCAGTTAATCCCCATGTTAAGTGCAACTGGCACGCATCCTGCGGAACGAGGGGAGTAGTGAACGCTTCTCCTCCCCAGGCCGTTTAACTGAATGCTCGGAGCAGAAAAGTCCTCATTCTTCTTGTTCAGGATGTAATCTATACATGCTAGCTTCTCTCCCAACAGAACTTTTTATTACCATCATCCTGTTCTCACTCCACCTGAACACACTGGGAATGGATAAACACCTTTTATTTTTGTATAGAGAACGCTTCACGAATTTGTCATACTTTCACAGGGCCAATGCTAATCTTCCCTGTATCGTTCCAATTTATTTTATTTTTTGTATCCATGCTGCTGAAGTGAGCGCTGGATAAGCATTGCTAGTTCATTTTGACCTGCAGGAAGGAGTCGGTCTCACCTAGGTGTGCCGGACAGGGTTGTGGATGCTGTCAAGTAGATGAGATTTGGGATTGCCTCCTGACGGGGAGCAGGTGAGTGTGTTTGAGTGGTTAGTGAGGTTTTGAAATCAAAACTGTGGGAAAAACAGTGTGTGTGGAAGTAAAGCAGCCAGAACATTACAGTCGACATTTGTGTTTTCATTTATCTCTCTTTCTCTCTTCCTCCCTTCACCGCTCCCTCCCTTTCTTCCTTCCTTCCTCTTTTTGTTTCCTGACAATAGTGACCCGGTTTCCCTTTGGGCAATCACCGCTTTTCCACTTTCAGTCCATATGGTTTGGCAGTACTAGCATTACCTCTGTCTCCGGGGGTAGGCGCTTCACTCAGGCCAAGTCAGTCAGAGCACGGCACCTCCCCGGCCAAGGTGCCGGCCGCAGGATGGGCGCGCGCCCTAATCAGAGCTAGTGAGGTGATCAGTTGGGTATTTTGAAAGGGAGGTGTCGCCTGTTGTTCTTGCTGGGCTTGGCCATACGAGGATAAAGGTCTGGAGCTTCTAGTTACCCTCTTGCCACCATGAACACAGGGCCTGCCCGAGAGTGGAGCTCAGACACGGGGAAGCAAAGGTGAGAGACAGAAGAGGACCAAGTCTTGATGACATGGTTGACCTGCAGGATTCAGCTGGGCCCAAACCCAGAACTACCTCCTTTTCAGTTATGTCCACCAGATTCCTTTCTCTGAGCCTGTTTGAAATATGTTTTCTTTCCTTCTTTCTCCCTTCCTCCTTCTCCCCCTTTTGCTGAAAGAACAAACAAGCTTCTATGTGCTTATACAATCTTATAAATTAGTCTTTCTCTCTCTCTTTCTTTTACTGAAAGAACTCTAAGTGTTATAAAGACTGTATCTTCATGCTGGAGCTAATGACGGCTTCCGTTGTGTAAAAAGCAAGCTTAAAATGCTGTTTATGTAGACAAACAAAAGCTCCTCCCCTTTAAAAAATATTTATTTATTTATTTGTTAGGGGAGGTAATTAGTTTTATTTATTTTTTAACTGAGGGATTGAACCCAGGACCTCGTGTATGCTAGGCACGCGCTCTACCACTGAGCTACACCCTCCCTCCCAAAAGCCCTTCTAATATTATTGCATGCAGGTCAGGGACAAGAGCATTTAGTTTTAGGACTCTAAGGTCAGTACGGTTTCTTAATTCTTGTGGTGCAGTGTTTTAGTTACGTTATTATTGCCAATGAAGTTGATAGTAGGATGTTCTCTGTACCTCATCTACTATAGTAACTTAGGGAGTGTATTTAAAACATGTTATACTGCTGTGCACAACTCACAAGAGTTCATTAACATACACCCAAGGGAGTCTACTACTCAAAGTTTTCCCCTCCCTGGTAGGCAAATATTTTCTTTACAAAATTCTATGATCTCACAAGCAAATCACCATGTAATACCGCCTTCCAGCTTGTAATCTTCAGGACTTGCGTTTAGTCAGTGGGCACCTTACAGCCACATTGCCTTTCTGTCTGTCAGCAGACCAGTTCTGGCTTACTTCTGATGAAGTGTCATTTTCCTATGATTTAATTTTAAATGAGAATGGGATGCTTTGCTAAATCAAGTTGACTGACAATCTGAACATTTTCAAAAGTTGCATGAACAGTGATTTCTTTAAAAATGATGAAGATTCGAGTCTTTTTGGTTAAGTTTCCACTTAATTTTGGGAAAAAAATCAACCCCAGAGTTTTAGATTTGGGAAGAAATGCAGCGCTGTCTCAGCCCCCAGCCCTCTCTGAGTGAGGAAACACAGTCCCAGAGACACAAAATGCAAGTGGCAGATGGAACGTTTAACAATTTGTAGTGACTTTGGGGTGCAGAGGAGGAAGACATTGAGCTGTTTTCTCTCTTTTGCACTCACTTTTACTCTCATTTCCTCTCAGGTATCCTTCCATGGGTATATCCTAGGATTCACAGGCAATTCTAGAATTACACATTTCTTTCTCTTAATTTGTGTGCCTTTTATTTATTTTTCCTGATGTTAATTTTTTGTTTGTTTACAACTTTCCAGAATCATTGGACAGGCACTATATAAAATACCAATTTTATTATTGCTCCATTAATAACGCTAATAAGGATGATGTCACACATCTTTGGCAGAGGGCAAAGGGGCAATGGAACAACACATGTCAGCAGTGGAGCAAGAAAATTGGGTAGAATGGTTCCCCTGGCCTCCTACCAATGCCCATCTTTCTCTCAATCTCCTTGACTCCCAAGGAGGACTGTGTAAATCTGCCGAGGGAGGCTGTGTTTACCTGGCCCCATGTTCACTCAGCCTGGTTTGGCCAAAGGCCACACAGCAGGCCAGGCAAAGACCCACTGAGCCTCAGAATCAGGCAGTGTTTCTCGAGTATTTAGTAGCTGCTGTGCATATGGGGTCCTAATACAAACTTTCTAAGCGAAGCAAAGAACAGTGAAATGAGACAAGTCAGCATTTTACCAGCGCCGGAAGCTTCCTGGAGAAGAAACTTGCCCATCACTGTCAGTAGTTTTCTGAACTTTCTGTGATAGAACCACAATATGGTTGGTGACTGAAAGCGGGATTTCATACAAGAGAACCACTTCTGAAATTTTTTTAACTATTTTTTTTTAACACAGGAAATGACACACCATACAAAATACTTGTTTTACAAGTTGACATCTTTACAGTTTGGGGTACAGTTACAGTAATGCAAGTAATATTAGTGCATCCACTTAGAGCAGAGTTACCGATCGCCAGTGGGCTTAACACAAAGCCAAGAATGACTTCTTTGCTTCAATTACTATCTAGTCTTTGAATTAAAAAAGAAAAAAGAAAAATTACTTCTACCTCCTGTATACTATGTCAGAATGATAAACAATGCTGACAGTTAAGTAGTCTGGTATTTCTATAAAAGGGAGATTGTATTCCAATAGCTTTTACGTTGTAAATTCTGGAGTTTTGGTCACATCTATCAAATCGTCATTATCTCAGCTTTCAGGGAAATTACGTCATCTTTGGTAATAGGCTGCCAACAAACAGAAACTATAGACTCCACCATTTTTTTTCCCCAAAGAATCCTGTATTTTAATGAATAGCTGAATAAATAGACATTAATTATGAAATTCACATTAGGAAAATCCAAACATTCTGATTGCTTGATCTCTTAAATTTGATAGCTACTACAAAACAGACTATGTTAGGGCAAAAATAAGCTGAATCATAGGCGTGTAACTGGGAAGTGCTGGCAGATATATACAGTAACATGGAGGAGCCATAAAAGAAAAGTGTTTGTATGTACATAACGTTTTCCTTGCTTTTCCGCATGGAGAAACGCTGTTTTATAAAATGGGAAAACACACAGTAGGCCACATGCAACAAGGACCAGTACAATGTGCACAGCAGAATAATCCAACAAGACACAAGAACTATGGGTTTCAAAAAGAATTCGGGAGCAGAAAAAAAAAAAAAGGAAAGAATTGAAACCTGGAATGCTTTCTTATTGAGGTTTCAGAATAGAAATCTGCCTCACAAGCCTCTTGATAGTTTTCAAAAGTTCCCACTTGACCACCTACGGTTTAAGTGTAGAGCTAAAAATAAACCATCCTATTATACAAAACTTTGTATATTAGCATACAAAAGGTAACAATTTACTTTTTGTATAAAATATAACCTTTTGATAGTATATTTATTTCACATATGTATAAATATAACCCAAAGAATATGCTTTAAGGATTTCTACCAAAATATTCTTTACAAAAGTTTACAAAACAAGTCATTTATATATATTTACAACCTAGCGCAGAAACGATTCCAGGCCAGTGATGTTGGTATTGTGTCAAAGGAAGAGTGCTTCTAGACATTGTAACGATTGGGAGAGGGCTTTGCAGAACTCTCCAAATGTGTTCTTTTTAGAACAGGTATTTAAAGAGTAATTAGATGACTTCAGTTAAATATCATTTGATAATTGAATATGTGAGTGTATGGCTAAGAAGGCTGGCGGTAACCCGTGTTCCTCTGGAATGAGGAAAATGATAGTGCTATTTCGCATACATCCCACATCAGCCCACATCGTCCCCATTTTACAGCTGCTCTGTTACATGACTCAACAGGACCTTCTTCTTTGATACAATGCTCAGCCCTGAGGGAGAAAACCTGGATACGATGGGCCCATCTAGCATGTGGCAATGATTCATCACATCGGGGACAGAAGAATGAATAGATGGCAACTAACAGCACATTCTATTCAGTTGTTCACCCAAATAATGTGTCCAAATAAAGGCAGATTGTTTTTCCTCTCAATGATGCCTTCCCTCAAACCCCATGAAATAGATTTGCGCCCGCCGGTACCTGCTGTCCCTGGTCCTGATCTTTTGTTTTCTTCAACCAAAACGTGATACCTTCTCATCTCCGTTTTGGTCTCCAAACTTCCTTTTCTTACAAATCAGTCTCTGGTCATCAAAATAAGCAGAGAGGGCTCGAATTCCCACTCAGCTTGGGAGCTAACCAGCAGGCATCATCACAATAAGACCAAGTTATCTGTGGTCAAATACATCTTCCTTAGAGCAATGCCCAGTGGAGGGTTTTCTTTTTTAAACAGTGAAATCTGATGCAGACAGGTGTGCACTAATATTTCAGTATGATTAGCCACAGGTCATGATTGTAGCTAAGACTCAGAAGCTGGATTCAGAAATTGGTTGTGGAAGTCCAAATAAAGTTGGACAGCTCTGCGTTCTTGTTTCATCACTAGACACAGCATCTCGCTGAAGTGGAGGACGTGTGGGAAAAGTGAAAAAGTGAGGGGGTGAATCTGGGGAAGAAAATCTGTCGTCCACTGAATGTTCTCTGGGCTCTCCATTTTTCCTTGACTTAGGACACTGTTTGGGTACTCTAAACAAACCTACAGCATTTTGATCTACCCTGGAAGTTTTAGAAAACCTAAATGAAAAAAACAGAGTAGAGAGATTAAACCACACTTATGTATCAATTAGAGCAAATGAGGGGATTTGTAGCTTGTGGCTTGGAACTAGTACCTCTGCGTGACATGGGGGTTAAACCAGCTACGGGTTCTATGACTTTCCCTTCAGGGCAAAGAGGAGCTTGGGAAGCCCATTTTACACAACTAATTACACATCAACATCACAGCTCTGTTTGGGTAAACTGGATACTGTGTCCTGGAGTTTCGACAGGGAAAAGTGACCCCAATGTTTTACGTTCAGGTTTGAGATTTAAAACGAGCATTTGGACCAAAATGCTCGCTGCTACAGTTACTTCCTGCTTTCCACGTTTCAGCCAAGGTATCATAGGAGTCCAAGTGAAAGTCAACCGTTTGGCCTTCACGGAGTCCTCATGAAATACTGCCTTTGCATGCTTGGAGTCTGCGAATTGTCTCCCTTTCCGCCTTTAGGAGTTGTTCCCCAAGATTTCATCAAGATTGATGTCTTTCATCCAGTCATCATTACCAGGCTCTGTCTTCAATAAGGAATCAATGAAGTCAGCATCACTGTTTAGGGCGGGGCCCATGTTATCAGTCTGTTGGTTGAGAAAGTCAAAAGCTAAGTCATTGCCATGGTCAGCTCCTTGAAAAGCCCTGGAACTTTGGTTGGGTGAAGGGAAAGTGCCGGGCGTCAGGGATGGTGGCTGGCTTATGCCTGTCCTCGACTGACTCAACCCCGTGCCTGACTGGTTCAAATTCGGCAAAATCTGTGTGCTGAGCTGATTGGGTCTGAGATTCAGACTTCTGAGTGGACCCATGGTCTGTCCGTTTAATGTCTGGCTCATTTGGCTCATGGGTCTCATTTGCGCCGCTGGCGTTAACTGACTAGGAGGAGCAACCGCTCTCTGGGCAAATTGCTGGCTAGCTGCAGTCTGCTGCAGTGACTGGTTCGGGGTGTAGGCCGCAGGCGTAGCCGCGGGGAAGCGGACTCCTGCGGACTTCAGCGCCTCCTGCTGCTTGGTTGTTGCTTCTTGAGAGGCCCAGTTTGGTGCCGCCGTGTTGGATGTGACCATCACGTTCGACGTCCTCTGGGCAGGCCTGCTGGCCATACTGTGGGTTAAATTTGGTCTTAATTGCTGTGAATTGCCAACGGATCCAGCTCCAAAAGTGGCCACGTTATTATTATTACTGGACCCTAAAGTAGGCGGCCGTGGCATCAGAGGGCTGTTTTGATTTGCTAGCAGTTGGTTTGGGTTTCTCTGTGGGGTCAGCTGACTCATTCCTGAAGTGATGTTGTACGTGCCAGGTTGACTGCAAGGCAGGGTCCCATACATCCCTATGTTCTGAACTGCTGTGGATAAGGATGGCATTCTTGTCCCATGAGAAGTAGACATGAGGCTGGAATTTGGAGTTAAAATGGTGTGTGTTGAAACTGGGTTTGCCAAAGCCGGGTTAGAGTTTAAACTCACTGCCGATGAGCCACCTAAGAACAAGAAGATAATTGTATTAGTTCATAACAGCAGGTCAGCTCCTCTTTCATAGCAATTTACAATCACTTATCAACTCTGAACCTGCCTTTGGGTCTAAGAGCAAATAAAGAGACGGTCATCACAGCACATGTATAAAAGGAATAAGACAGCTTTTGGGAAAGGGGGAAGTTATCACCCTAAGTTACTCCTTGGTCAAGAGTTTATATACCATAGAAGGACAGTGAAATAGAATGGTTCTATTTCTTAGGCTTTATTTTATTCTGCTTCTGGAATCATGAAAGTGACGTGATAGTCAATCTTCCATTTGGAATTAGCTTCACTCTGTCCCAAGACTAAAGACTACAACTCTGATTAGCCACTCGTCACGAAACCCATGCTACCGGTTACCCCAGGGTCCAAATTAGGAAGTGCAGAGGGGTTCTATACACGGCTACTAGATTAAGAGCCCAAATCTATGGCCTCGGAAATCATGTCCAATTTTCATCTGCATCATCGCCGTTCAAGAAGTTGCCACAAGATGCGTAAACTCCCATCTCTTCAAACATCTGAATTCAGTGTAATCCAGGCTCGAGTGCTCGTTGCCATACAGAAAGCACTCTGCTCTGGGAGGAGCCCTCACTATTGTATTGTTGTCCATACACCATGAGCTACTTAAAAAAAAAGTTTTTATGGATGTATAGTCAGTTTATAATGCTGTGTTAATTTCTGCTTTATAGCATAGTGACTCAGTTATATTCCTTTCCATGTTCTTTTTCATTATAGGCTGTTACAAGGTATTGAATATAGTTCCCTGTGCTCTACAGTAGGATCCCGTTCCTTATCTATTTTATATACATGAGCTACTTCGGCGCATGTCATTTCCTTCCCCTGTGATGCCCTTCTCACCTCACCAAGCCCTATCTTTCCTTCAAAGGCTCAGGCCAAGGTCCAAGATCCAAGATCCTTCATTAAGCTTTCCCTGCTGTCCCAGCCTCCTCTCTCAAGCTGCATTTGCTCTTTGAAGTTTTCATTTCGCATTGAGCCTTTGTATTGGGAAATCCAAGGAGCCTCAACGTGCCTGCCAGTTACACTGATGCCTGTAGATAAGTGACTGAGTGTGGGACCAGTCCACTCAGGCTGCTGAATAGGGAGGCGCCACGTATCAGACCAGTGATGAGCTCACACACTGAAACTGTAATAGGGAAGAACAAATCTGACTCCACGTTAGATCTGTTTCTTTAGCTCTAACCCTGTGCTGTTTCCTGTGCTGAGTCATGCTGGTTCTGCACCTTTTGTAAAAGAATGTTGTCTATAGCCTGAAATAGACAGGAGAGCCTATTCTCAAGGCTCTGACCTTTGAGGATAAAATACTTTCCCATTCATATAGAGACAAAAAGTTGCAGAATAGAGAATATCATTTGTCTTGTTGGAGGTTTATAGAAACATAGTGACTGATCTAGATGGACAGCTGCAAGAACAAAGGATTCTGACACCTAGAAGTTTGTAACAACCAACAACATCCCCTCCCCTTTTTAGTATAAAAGGAGCCTGAATTCTGACTTGGGTAAAATGGTTCTCCAGGATGTTAGTCCCCCGTCTTCTTGGTCTTCTGGCTTTCCAGATAGTCATCATTCCTCACCTCAACACCTCGTCTCTAATTTATTGGCCTATTGGGTGGTGAGCAGTACTCATTTATAAAATCTTTTTGGCTTGGGGAGGTTAAAATCATCAATGGGAAAACACCTTGAGAGGTAAAACTGGAACGCCAGAAAGATATATACAAGTGCCTGTTCCATGATAAGTTCCCGGAGAGAAAGAATTTTTGCCAGTTTTGTTCGCTCTCAGAATCTCCAAGTCTGGTGGATGGTGCCCAGAAGGTATGCAGTTGATATTGATTGAATGAACGGATGAATGAATAAGTGAATGAGAGATTGAAGCAAAGCTGTAACCTGGAGAAAGATACTTTTTTAAAGTCCTCTCCCTGCAGAGAGGCAGGGAGGCCCAGAGAAACAGAGACACTGAGAAAGAGAGAACTAGACCCACATACGAAGATGAGAACGGCAGTGTGAGGAGACCACAGCTGCACTTATAGCCCTGGGACAGCCCCCACGTTTGAGGATACCAGCGTGGTGCACAACTTGAAAGACTGAAGGCCTTGCTATTTGCTTTAAAATATGTCCCCAGCTAGACTCCACAGCCCTTGAAGGCAGGAGCAATCTCTTGTATCTCCTCATCTCCTGATTTAGCCCAGGCCTTGAGTGTGTAGGGCAGGCAGTAAGTGGTTGATGAAGAGTCAGACAGGAGATACTTGCACAGTGACTCAGTTCACAGACGGCTAATGCCAGCATCTCGGTATCTGATGGTGTCACGAAGAGGGGATTTACACGATGAAAACGCTATGGGAAAACATTTAGAGGTCTTAAAAACCACTCCCTCTAGGTCCCTCTACTTTAACAATATACCCTATGAAGACTTATGAGGACAGCAGTCTTTTTAAACAACCAGAATAGAGAGAATTTCCATACAGGTCACAAAATGTTAATCACAGTTAATATTTAGAAGCCCCTCGTATGTGGTAGGAATTGTTCCAGGCGCTTCTCACACATCATTTCTGATTTTACCCTCTGGGCTGGGGGATTATTATTGTGCTGAGGTCAAAGTGAAAAGCGATAAAAGAGTTCATGGGGTGCTTGTTGCTTATTTCATTCTCGGAAGACGCGGGAGGTACAGCTCTCTAGAGCAGGGGTTCTTACCCTTTGGGGGTCAGACTAACCAAGCAGGACCCTGTGGGGCTTTCCCAGGACAGACCCCTCCCCACATCCTCTGCTGCAGCTCCCTGAAGTACCCAGAAAATAGGACCTCATGTACAGTTCCTGAGTTTTTCGGATGCTGAAAATCAACACCGAAGGGAAGAAATGAACTACCTGATGATCGACAGCGCATGGCCCCCAGACCTTCTGGCCCCTGGGGGTTGATGGTGTTGACCGCCCTGTTAGCTCCACAGCAACCAATCAGAGAAATGTGCACGAGCTGATCACATTCCCTGAGACGCTCCCCGCCTCACCTGCCCTTTAAATACGCTTTGCTGAAACCCTTCGGGGAGTTTGAGGTTTTCTTGGGCATGCACCACCCCGTCCTCCTTGCTCGGCCCTGCAATCAACCTTTCACTGCTCCAAACTCCGACATTTCAGTGTCTTTGGCCTCACGGTGCAGCTGGCACCTGAACTGAATTTATATTCGGTAACATTAGCAGTTGGATGCCAAGGACACCTCTCTTAGGAAGATGCCCATATGCGCTATGGGAGAGATGCTAAGTCCCTCCCAAATATCCAACCTCCTGTCTTCTTTAGAAACAGAGCCCTGACTTAGGAGCCATGTGCCCAGGTGAAAAAGCACATTTCCCACTTTCTTGCTGATGGGGGTGGGGTGTTCATAGGAAGAAATTCTGGCTAAAGGTGGATGTTACAAGTGAGTGCTGAAAAAACACCTGCCTTAGAAAGGGAATTTGAGTCCTTTGGGAGGCCACTTTACCTTTTCCCTTCTTTCACCTCTCTATCTGGAATATGGTATGAAAGCTGGTGATGTGGTGGCCACAAGGCAACCCTTAAGATGGAAAAAATTACATGCTCAAGAAGGTGGAGCAGAAAGACAAAAGAAGCCTGGATCCCTGATAACGTGGGAGAGCCACCAAACCAGCCTGACTGCTTTCCTTGGGGATCTTTTATATGGATGGGAAAAGAAAAGCTGAAACATTCCCCTTGAATTTTATATAATATTTCAAAGGGCTCTTAGCTTCTCCTAAACCCACCAACAGGCCAACGCATAAGAAGGTATAAGTCACGTTCCAAGTAAAACCCATCTTGCCTTTCAGCCTCCTTGAGGACAGACTCAAAAAGAGAATCTTGTTTTCGCCCTGAGGCAAAGTCATCTTAGAGCGTGGAATACACGTATCCCACTCCGACTTTTAGTGGAGACAGGCAATCTGGTGCGTTTGAAAGAGTTTAAACAAATTAGAACAACATATCTGTTTCTACACTTAACAGGATCAGAAAATATTTATCAACAGAAATATTCACAGCCCCTTCTTCTTTAGTGAGTATCCGTTATGGCTTCCAGGACAGGTGGACAGAAGAAGGTAACAGGTAAAGCAGACAGAACTTGGGAAACTCGAGGACAAGATTGATTTACATGAGAAGGTGCAGAGAGTTCTGGGCAGAAAAGACCCGAATGGATGCTGACTAGAAGGTAGGGCAGCACAGGCTAGGTTTGAGAGAGGTTCTTTTGGAGTTCACAGTGTGGGAGGAGAGAGATTTTAAGGCCACCTATGTTGTATTGAGGGATCTATCAACTCACGGACATAGAAAACAAACTACGGTTACCAAAGGGGAAAGCGTGGGGGAGGGATCAATTAGGAGTTTGGATAAATTAGGATAAATACATATTACTGTATATAAAATAGATAGATAACAAGGATCTGCTGTACAGCACAGGGAACTATATTCAATTTCTTGAAATAACATATAATGGAAAATAATCTGAATAAATTAGGTAGAGGTATGTATATGTCACTTTGCTGTACACCTGAAACTAACATAAATCAACTACACTTCAATAGAAAACAAAATTAAAAAAAAACACACAGAAAAGGAAAGGAAAAAAGAAGAATCCTCATATGTGGTATTCTCCCATAACCACAGAAACAATAAAAGGTTTTGAATTTTACTTTGTTAATTTTCCAAATTTTAAATTTTTTGAGAAATATTATTGGAAAATTATGCAATAAAAAAAAGCTTAATTAAAAAAAGAAGTTTTGCTTTGTATTTTAAATGCAAGTCACCTTGGTAATTTTTGAGAGACTTCATAAAGACTTCATTTGCTTTTCAGCTGTTTCCAGGTGGTAGGGCTATTTGTCTTAGGGACATGAGCTCAAAGGTGAAGACAGAAAGACTGGGCTTCATGCGAGTTACAAATGTGACTAACAGGGAGAAATGTCTGCTTACCTTACACTATCTGGATCAAGATACGCTGTTGGGAGGAGCACGGTTGAACCTAGCAGTTAGAAAATATTTACCCTTTTTTTGACTCAGAGGTGGTGTGGTGAGCAGTGAAATATGTGATTGAGGAACAAGAATAAGCAAGAGAAACTGCTGAGTGGACTGAAAAATATTCAAGTTGGGTCTTGATCTGAACGTTAACCAGGAGCTGGAGAAGGATTCTAAGAAAGATGTTACAGGTAAGTAAGAGATGGGAAAGGAGGAAATACTGAACACTGAACAGTTTGCATCCTTCCGCAGTTAGGGTTTTTATCAGTTTTTAAGAACACTTACCAGAATACTGAGCAGTGGGCTGCACACTGCCTACGTTTCTTCTTTGGTCTTTATAATCTGGGGGTGGCCTTGTCAAATGTCTGTTTATCTGATCTTGCGGAGCAATTTTCTCCTTGAAAACACAAAGGAAAACATATTAAATCGCATTGTTACTTTCTCTCTCATAGAAAAAAAAAGTATAGATTGTTTTTCAGAAAAGCAAGAATATAAGAACAATTCCGCAGTCACAGTTGCGAATCACGGACCCTACTTTGTAGTTTTTATGTACGAATTGCAGCCATAGTGGCGAATTATGGAACTTATTTATTTATTTATTTGATTAAAAAAAATTTTGTTCTTTATTGAAGTGTAGTCCATTTATAATGTTAGTTTCCAGTGTACAGCAAAGTGATTCAGTTATACACACATACATATATATATATTTCAGATTCTTTTCCATTATATGTTATTGCAAGATATTGAATATAGTTCCCTGTGCTATACAGTAGGTCCTCATTGTTCATCTATTTTATATACAGTAACGTGTTTCTGTTAATCCCAAACTCCTGATTGATCCTTCCCCCACTCCTTTCCCCTTTGGTAACCATAGTTTGTTTTCTATGCATGGATCTTATTTAGAGACAAATCTTTTCCATTCAGTTTCCTGCATGGAAGTGTAATTTCTACCTCTCCTTAACATTCAACACATGCTTTGGGTCTAGTAAATACTCTCATTTTCTTTCTGTTCCAATGAGCTTTCAATGAGGATGAAATTTCTGTGGTTCCTGGGTTGGGTATCGCTATTTTATTTCATAGCACACCTGATATACTATGGTACCTACATGTAATTCTGGTCCCCTTGAGTGTGGGAGGCACAGGAGGAGGGTTGCCAGATACAGTGCAGGGCACTCGGGCATTCTGTGTTTTTATTTGCTAAATCTGGGAACCCTAGACAGGAGGAGGTGCAGGCACTATATGCATATTAGCTCATTTTCCTCCATCATAAACAACCATGGAAGGAAGGTGTGATTATCCCCACTTAACAGATGAGGCAATGGAGGCTAAGCAACTTGTCGAAGATCACACAGTGGTAGCACAAAAACCAAATCCTGAGTTAACAACTCAGGCTTTCCCACCACACAGCACAAGGGCCTCTCACTGTTCCGTTTTTTCAGCGCCCCATCCTCAGAGCCCAGAGATTCCCCAGACTCCTTTCTTTTCTTCCTTCTGGAATGGGCCACCTTTCGATCTTTAGAGGAGGTGAGCTTAGGGGCTCACAGAGGACCTGGGGGCATCCTTTTTAAATTGCCAATCCCTCAGCCAAAGACCATCAGGAACACACCTGTTGGGGTTATCACTTGCTGCAGCAAGGGAGACCGTACATTCTGGGGACCAGAGGGTGTCTCAGCTGGGGCGTGTTAGAAAGAAACTGTTATAGGATTTGGGCTTTGCTTGGGTGATTTAGGGAGAGTCTAACAAAGCTGAGATTTGTTCTAGGTTGTAAGCTGTCAGAAAGCGAGGTTGATTCTATGGCTATGTAGAGAAATATTTGTCACTCATTCAGCACAAGAGGGGAATTTTTGGTGTTTTGTGGGTTACACAGTGACCTTGTTTATATCTATTTTTAGATGAAATTATGAAGTGGCCTTCTTTTATCTCATTTTAACATGCTCTCAGAGCAACCCTGTCTGAGGTTGGTGTCCTGTAAAATGTTTATGTCCAACAGAACAAAACAGCCTGGGAGGGGTGAGGTGGGTGTAGCTCCGTGGTAGGGTGCATGCTTAGTATGCGTGAGGTCCTGGGTTCAATCCCCAGTACCTCCATCAAAAAAAAAAAAAAAAAAGCCTGGCTGTTGGGTGCCCTATCAGTTCTGGACATCAAGGGATGCTTTTTCTTTCTCAGTAGTGATCAGGGAGTTTTTTATAAATGCTTCACTGCAACTTTATATGTGCCCCAAAGCAAGCCCATTTTCAATGATAAAAACAATTGGCATAGGTACACAGAGAACAATATAATTATAGAAAAGTCAATAAATAGAAAAGAAAACCTTGTAACAGATAGATGGGAAAATTAGATGGAAGCCACATGTGGGATGCCTAACTTAGAACCCACTTAAACCATGTATTTCTCAGTTTTCCATCAAATTGCAATCCTTCTAAGTAGAATAAATCTACTATAGAGGGAAAAAAATGATCTTAAAACAACAACAAACCAAATTCAAATTCTTGTTTCTAAGGGAAAAGACTTGAAAGACTCAGGGATTTGGGGGCATCAAGTAATTCATATAAAACACAATTTTGATGAGCTAAGTGTAAATGAATCAGAAGCATATGGATTACATTTCTTTTAAATATGGGTTTACAAATTAAGGGAAAAAGTGGTTGGTGAAAGTCTTTCTGGTTTTGCCCAAACCCTAAATGTTTAAGAAACAGCTCGAGATGTTCCATGAACCCAAATGTGGCAATATTCAACCATTCCTACTTATAAACGATTGTGCAAGCTGACAGTTTTGGTTTTTATGCCAAGTGTGGACTTTCTGAAATCTTCTCTTTGTCAAAAGCATCAATCATTTTTTCTTATATATTTAAGAGTTTCTACTGTCTCTAAGAAAACAGAATTCAAGCGTGTGTGCGCGCGTATGTGTGTGTGATAATCGGACCCTTAGTTACCCATTTAAAGACTAGATTTTGAATCTGGATTTATTTTTATATATATTCAATCTAATTATTGATTTTTTTATTCTCCTGAGGGGCAAATTAGGTTGTTCAAAGGGTTAACATATACATCTCTGGTATCTTGAGTTTCTGAAAATCCTTGTTCACAAGTGAGTTAGCGTTAACGGCCTTGCATATGGACCATTATAGAAATGCCCTGTTGTCACTTGTGCTGAAGAACAGCAGAGACCAGACTCTGACGCCAAATGGAGACCACACCATTCGCAAGACCATGACTTTCCCATTCTATGCAAGTGTAAACTCACGGGCCCTTCCTGAGCTTACGTCTATGTGACATGAAATTTAACTTATCAACTCACGTCTTACGATAACCCAATATCTTGGACCCAAAAAGCTAATACAGGAATAATCTTCTGTTGCCCATATCTGCCCTGCTTCAGTTTCGCCATCTTGAAATGTGAGATGCGGGTAATTCCAGGACCTCCCTCGTACTCCCGTTGTAAGAACCAATCCTTTAATTCCATCAAAGCTCAGCATGGTGCCTGGCACATAGTAGGCGCACAAGACGTGTTGGAAATTATGATGCCCATTGTAGCAAGCTCTACTTATCTCTCTTCTTTGTATTTCTTGGTGGGAGAAGAATAGGGAGTAAGGATAACACACTTTCATGAGGAAATGTCTCAATTTAGGAGCCTCGCTGGCCTTGCCAACTGACTGCAAATGACTACAAGGCATATGCTAATGTAAAGTGGCGTCAAAGACTGTTTCTTCCTGGATATGCTAAAAAGCGCAGGCACCCTCAGTGGCAGCCAAACAGAACGGAATGTGAACGGTTTATAAAAAGTCACAAAAGCAGCAGCCTCACTCTCATTCACCTCTCACAGCCTGTGCCCCTGCCCTTTGCACCTGTCCCAGTGATGACTCATCCTGGCTCCGCGGGAGTTAGGGCAGCGCCAGGACAGGACCCTCACGGAACGTTTCCTTGCCTTCTAAAGAGAGCTGAAAACCCAGAAATTCAATCTCTTCCTGCTCTAAATCAACAAGTTAGTGGTATTGATGGGAATGATGAAAGAGGACCCAGTAAACCAAACATAGATTGTGTGTTTTTCTCTTCTACTGCCCTTGTTTCTAAGCTACTTAGTCTACAAAGATCAAAAAAAGGGAGAGTGGGTGGGCAGAATGAAATTTTCAAAACTATGATTTATAGTAGAAATTAGATCACTTAGTAATCTCGCCAGTGGTTCCCCTGTACCTTACACCTTAGGGCAGCACTCAAGGTCACCTATAAATTTCTCTCTCACTCTTCCTCACTCAAGGTCAAATACATTTATTTCTCACTCTTTCTTCTCACATGCCCTGGACTCCAAACTTAATGCCATTGGTCATTCCTTAAGAAACATAAATGATTGTTATGTTGTGATTTATACTCTTGGTTATGCATTAAACATAATACAATCTCAAACGAACCAACAAATACACACCTAGGCTGTACCTTTTGGTCTCTGCTCCACCCTCCACCTGGAATGGTGGACCACTCTAGCCATCAGAACCCTACGTCCTTCAAAGTCAAAGTCAAATTTTCTCTCTGCTGGGAGACAATCTACAATCTCTCTGGGGTGGATTTTACCTTTCCCTCCATTACATTTTCCCTCACTATGTTTATATCTTTATTAAAACGCAAATCTGAATTTAGTACTTCCTTCTTGAAAATGCTTTTAAGTCCTCTCCATTGCTTTTGACAAGGTAAATTTTGATTTACTAAGTATTATCTCCTGGTCGCTGGTTGCTGGCCTCCTGGACTTTCGCTTCCATATCCTCATGCACATTCTATGCCTCAGCAACCGTAGGATGAAGGAGACTTCATTGTCCCTGAGTCTTTGAACATGCTGGTCCTTCTGTCTGGACCCTCCCCTGTTGTTCCCTCCATCTCCTACTCCACCTTCAGATCTTCAGTAGATATAACTTCCTCTCTGAAACAGTTTCTGGTCATTCCCACATCACGGCATTTAACCACATGTATTACAATGGCCTGTTTATTTGACACCCCCTCCCCCCGCCCCATGGGCTCTAAGCTCCTTAAGGACAAAGACAGGGTTGTCTTGTTTATGGCTGTAGTCCCATCACAAATTAGTAAATACTCCCTGAGTGAATTACGGGGCTTACCACACCCAAGGTTGGAGTCTTACTGCAAAGCTCCTTGAGTGTAAAGTTTTTAAATTTTGTTTTTTGTTTTTTTTCTGCGTACCTTGGCTCTCTCGACCTGGAGATGGTCAACTTTGCCTCTTTCTTCTTTCTTTTGGCCAAATAGTTTGAAGGCAGAGAGTAAAATTTAGAGAGAGGGCTTTGGTCACAGGAGTCAGGAAGGGTTTGGGTCAGCTGTGGAACGTATGAGTTTGCGAATACAGAGGGGCGAGCAGATAGATACTGAAGCAGGGTTAATGCCTGGGTAATGTGTGAGAGCTAATGACCTTGCCTTTAAGGTAAGGCCATTTACATAGGGTGAAAGTGGAAAATACATTTTCACTTTTCTTAAAAAACATCTCCCATTCTGAGATGCTTTGTTTTGGAAGCCAAATCTTAAGTTCTGAAGCATCATGCTGGCTTTTAAAACTGCTGTTAAAACTCTTTTCTCTCTAAAAAATCAGTTTGGATTTGAGTTGATCAAAGTGTTGCCCCCCAGGGCTGTGGAACGACACTGGTGTCTTTTGCTGGATTCAAATGCCCATGTTGGTGATTCTGAACATTCCTGGGCTGGGCAGGGTGAGTTAGCTCAGGTGCCTGCATTCCAACTGTTCAGCAGCTGGTAAATCAAGTGGTTTGTTTTGTTTTGTTTTGTTTTGTGTTTGCCCCGCAGCGCTTTGCATGTATAGAATTAGCCTCTCTTACAGCCAGGACACCCTGGTTGCTGTCACATAGGTAGACCCAGAGAAAAGGGCAGAAAGCAGAAATGGAAAATAATGAATTCCCCCTGTTGGGCCAACAGGTGCGTGCAGTAGAAATTAGGAGAAGGTTTTACCGTGTCAACCAGCATCTGCTGCTGGAGGAGAAGCTGCTGTTTCTGCTCCAGGATCTGCCTCTGCAGAGTCTGTTTCTTTCCCATCAATTGCTGATTCAACAGTGATTGCTGAGAGTTCATGTAACCACTTCCAGTGTTTGGATTTGAGCAGGGGTTGGGACTTGGACTGGGGCCTGGGCTCTGGCCTACCGCAGACTGTTGGTCCTAAAAAAGAGAAGGGGCGGGGGTTGTGGGGGTGGGGTGGGGTGGAAAGCTACTGTGAATTAAAAGAAGAAAAAAGTCGTACAAAGATCATAAGCTTCGATTCTGAACATTTTTCAACTTGTTAAGATCAAACACGGTTAATGGGTTGGAGATCAGAGAACTATTTTTTTTTTTAATGTAGAGAAAGTAATTGTATATCACAGCAACCAATGCAGCTGGGTTAAGGACATTAGTGCGCTGGAAAAGCTCCCAGATGACTCTGATGGTGGACCCTCCACATTCCAGAAGGCGTTTATGGAACCTCAAAGAAAATCACCATGAAAACATATGGCAAACTTCTCAATTGCTCAGGAACAAACACATCATAAAGTAACAAGTTCTTCCTTCTTCCTAAAGTTAGCACATGTCATTGCTAACCCTGCAATAAAAATCATTTCAATTCATGCGGTTAAAAGTTGAATAACCATTTTGGACAGAAGGGGCCTAGCTTTCTGTGATAAGGCAGTAAGACCTGTTGAGTTTATGTTTCACAAACACTGAAACTTGGAAGGGACTTCACTTTTCAGAGACTTGTTAATTTTTCTCCCTGATCGGTAAGTCAGGAATCTCTGCATTAATCAGTAGAACACCAACTGACAATAAGGAAGTATTGGTTAAAGACTCACAATTGCATATTAAACAATACTGGGTACTGGTGACTTGCCATTCTAATTTCAGGTCTCTACCAATCTTTAGGCATTGACCCCACAGGGCAGAAAGCTAAACCTAGCCAATATTTTCACTAATTCCCAATGGTGTGTTTAGGACTGAGCGGTACATGGCTGGGGTTATAAGAAAACTAGAAAACACAGTGCTCACTTTGGAGAATTTATCATCTAATTCAGGAAGAAATTCCATGCTTATGAGACAGGAGGGAAAGGGGCAGGGCACAGCCATTCAAGGAATGACACAGCAATTCACACCAAAATGGCAGAAGATTCAACTCCCGGTAGACCTTGAAGCTCAAGATGGCGGGAGGTTTGACTTCTAGTAGACCTTGAGCTTCATTATATGCTCATTGTAATATGTTAGCATGGTGAATAACACGCCCTCAGGTGCCATGACAGTTCCAAGACTAACCATAGAAGGTCAAAGAGTGGGCGGTGGCCCAGTTCCTGGGAATCCCAGCCCCTTCCTCAGGGTAGTCGGAATGGTCCTCCCACTTGTTGGCGTGTGGGGCTACCGAGCCCATAAAAACTGGCAACATCGTGCCTTGGGACGCCTCTCTTGCTCCCTCGTCTTCGGAGACGGGTCCACACTCTGTCTATGGAGTGTGTACCTACTTTTACTTTAACTTGAGCACCCAACTCCCACCCCTCGTGGCCTTTCTCTCGCCTCTTGAAACAGCCTGCACTCTATGCAGTATGTATCTCTCTAAATAAATCTGCCTTTATGCAACTGTGGCTCGCTCCTGAATTCTTTCCTGTGCGAAGCCAAGGACCTACACTTGGCAGGGCACGTCCCAGGGGCTCAGCTGAGACCTCGGACACAGCCCTCCTCGTGCCCCACATCCGTTCTTCCTGTATCACTTACATGTAAAAATACAGGAATATACAGAATCAAGTTTTAGATTAAAGATCCACACACTTGGACGGATATTAAATCTGTGAAACAGACGCCCGGCTTTGCTCCAGAAATTCTGAGGCAGCAGATCCGGGACATACTCAGGTGATTCTGAAGCTCATTGATCCGGGGAATGCTCTTTGAGACACTAGATCTGTGGGAGCAATGAAATGTAATTTTCATTCCCCAGCTGGACTGTGTGAGGTTATAAGAGATTAAAAAGATAAAGCAACGCCGGTGATGCCCGAGGAGCAGTGCAGGCACTCCAGTTGTGGACAGTCTCTGCTCTTTTATCTCATTCTTTCTTTGGTTATCTGCTGAGCTAAAACAAAAAAAAAAAGCCACCAGTTCACAGCCTGGAGGTTCAGGAAACGTGGTCTTGCTTTAGCAATCGCTGGGGCTACAGAGCTGACCAACTGCCTCAAAAGCAGGGGATACAAAATAATCCTAAAATGACCACGCACTGAGGTTTATTTCAGGCCAGTCACTGTGTGCAGCGCTTTATGGGATTTATCTCATTTCATCCTCGTAGCACAACAAGGACCGAGAACTAGCATCATCACCCTAAGTTTGCAAATGAGAAACCTGCGCTCCGAGACGTCACTTCGCCGGAAGCAGTTAAGAACTTTACTGCGCGCTGTCAGCTCTCGGGTGGCACAGGAAAAGTTGAAGAGAAAGTTTCAGGCTTTAAACCTTGGCCAACCCAGCTGACCCTGCAGTAAATGTTGCTGAGTGCTCCGCTCAAGGGGGAGCAGCCTCAGGCAGGCAGGTGGGAGGGAGAGCTTTAGGGAGAAGGGCAGGGGTGCGGGGACCGGGAGGGGGCGGTCCTCTCCTCGGGTTAAGGAAAAATAATCGGAGTCAGCTCTGAGGCAGGAACATCCTCTGGGCAGCTGAAGGGAGCCATCCTCTAACACGTCTGCACCCAATGCCCAGTCAGGTCAGTCAGCGGGAAATCTACCATGGCTCTGGGCAAAGACTTCACTCCACGTGTCCGGCAACCACCAGGACTGTCTCCTGGACCCTGCTTCTTGCATGTGGCTTAAGGCTCAGCTCAGGGCCCTGACACTTGGTTCTTTGCTGTGCCGGTTTTTTTTTTTTTTTTTAACATCCAAATATTTGTTAATAAGGCAACCAAGATACATTTACTAAGTATTGTGCCTTCATGTCCTTGTATGTAAAATGAAGGTAATTATATTAATGACATCATATTAGGCCAGCTGAAATTGAGAACAGTTCCAGGCCCTTAGCAGATATTAGATACATTTTAGTAATTAATACTTTCCTTATTTACCTATCTTTGTATTATTACTCTGTGTATGGCAGAGATGTTTTAAAAACAATTATTTTCGTGAAGGAGCTTATGCTGTAAGTGTACCTGGATTGCACATGTGGTGTATTTGACTTCTTTTGTTTTTAATTGAAGTATAACTGATTTACAAGGTTGTGTTAATTTCTGGTGCACAACATAGTGATTCAGTGATACATATATATATTCTTTATCATTATAGGTTATTACAGCATATTGAATGTAGTTCTCTGTGCTATACAGGAGGACCTTGTTGTTTAACTATTTTATGTAGAGTAGTTTGTATCTGCAAATCCCAGGCTCCCAATTTATCCCTTAGGGAGCCATGAGTTTGTTTCTGTGCCTGTGAGTCTGTTTCTGTTTTGTACCTAAGTTCATTTGTGCCATTTTTTTTCTTTTTAGATTCCACATATAGGTAATACCATATCCTTGTCTTTCTCTGACTTACTTCATTTAGTATGATAATCTCTAGGTCCATCCGTGTTGCTGAAAATAGCATTATTTCACTCTTTTTTTTTTATGGCTGAGTAGTCATTTTTTTAAAAACAGGTAGGCCTTTGTGCTCTCCTGTTGGCCACAGTCCCCACTATTTGTTGTTTTATTATATCTAATCTTTTCCCTCATTTCTATTACTTACCTGGACCCCCATGTTGGCATTTGAAATTAAGATCTCTGGCTTTTATTTTATCTGGGAATCTAAGATACACACATCACAAGACCCACATACAGTCAAAAGCAAAGCATAATAATTCCATTAGGTGCAATGATACCCACTAGTGCCCTAGGATTAAATCCAGATCTCCTAATCCCACATCTAGTCACCCCTGCATCCATCCACCTATTAATGCATTTGATAAATTTCACTGGGTATCTACTCTGTGCTGGGACAGTTTTCTATTTTTTAAGGATGAAAAAAGGATTTAGAAAGGGGGGAATGAAGAGAAAGAAAGGAGGTGGACAGAGTGCTTAATGTCGGCAGAATTGGTAAACATCAAAATAATTTCCAGGGAAATCTTGAAAACCACCCTCCACTAAGATTTATAAAAGATCAGCATGCCAAGAAAATGTAACTATGCCTCTTTCTCTCTCTGCCATCAAACAGATGGACTGTGCTGAATTTAGTTTCACTCCTTTACAATACCAAAAGATGTAACATAAGAGATAAGCTCGCTTCTGGAATTCTGTGGATTTTTAAACCTTGTCGTTTCCAGCCCATGGGATGTGCCGTATACTCTCACATACACATTCCTTCAGTTCAGGATGGAAGTAATATTTGGTGGCTGCTCCATTTTTTTGCCCTTATGTTAGCTATGAAACACAAAACACCTCCTTACACAGGCTTGCTGTCATTGCCAAGATACTGTGCCAACTTTAGTACATAAAATATTGTGAAAGAAAAATATGCTCCTATGTGTTGGCTTTGCTTTCCATATTCAGCCTCACTCTCTGCCTTACGCTCAGCCCATGTAGCACTTGACTTAATAGAAATCATCTGTGTCTCCCTCAACACTCATTTTTCTCCTCGGGAATCCATGAAGGTCATGGTAAAAATGGCACATCCTCAGCCCAGAGATGGAAGTGTGTGTGTGTGTGTGTGAGACTGGGAATGAATTAGGCTATTTCTACTAATGTAGTCTTTTATATGCTAGAAAACTCAGGTTTCTAGAGACTAGATCAAATCAGGAACTTGAATAACCTTTCATTTTGTGTGTGTATGTGTGTGTGTGGTTTTTTTTCTGTTTCTACCAATAAACTACAGTAATTAATGCTAGCCTACAAAATAGGCTTCTGACTCTATCCTCTTGGGATTTAATCTCAATTTACATTCAATTTGCACTTACAGATAGTTTTCCACATCTGTGTGAGTGTGTGTGTGTGTGTGTGTGTGTGTGTGTGTATTTAAGATTTTTCTTTGCTGTGTGTCCCAGGAATATTTTATTTGAGGGGAAAGAAACACTGAAGCAAAAAGTAACAAAAGGAAATCAGACAAATCTGAGTCATTCCTGGGAAGCAGTCTTTGGTTCGGGGCAGTTCCTGTAGCTCTCTGATGATTAATTCTGCTGCCATTCTTATTTCATTTATTTCTTGCCTG